GTGGAGGGCACGCCTTCGTCCTCATTCTCCAGACGGATCTTCTTGAGGGCAACCAATTCGTTGGTCTTCTTATTCCTCGCCTTAAACACCACACCATAAGTGCCTAAAACGCGGATCCAATCAAAAAGAGATAATCGGTTAAGTCGTGGACTGAAAACAACGGATCTGATGGTCAGTACAAACCTTCGCCAATCTTCTCGATCTTCTCAAAGTCTTCCATAGATATTGTGGTTTTGATCAAAACAATGGTTTTATTAACAAAACACTAATAATTGTCTCAATTATGGGTTAAGACAACGGCTGAAGAAATGAATGAATGGCAGAAATGAATGCGTTTTTTGAAATGAAAACCGAAAATCACAACAAAAACAGTTCAAACAAATGAGTGAATCGTTGTATGGCTTCCAGTCTTCCAGTCGTTAACGCATTGAAAAGCGCTTTAATTTTGAAAACATTGACTTTTCATTGGCTCTCATGTGAAGGCATTGCGAGCATTGGACGCACGACTCGTACGCGGCCTTCAACTCGCACTACAACTGGAGGCGTGGCCTCAATACTCGTCCCCATTGGCAGAACCCCCACTCTCTAACCCCCTCTATGTCTGCACTTCTTTGGCCCATCACTTCCCATACCATCGATGGTATCATATCTTTGTTAGACAGCTATGTGTTGAGGAACTGTTGGTTTGTCTCAAAAATAGTGCTAACTTTTCAAATACTTGTCAAAACGCGTAAAGTTTTCAAAACTTTTTTCTCACTGTTTGTGCTCTGCGTTAACTCAGAGGATCAGAGGATCAGATACCACAGACAATTATCGATGATCTCTTAGGGATGCATATGATATGTCGATGCACTCGACATCCATCACACCGACTGAGAAATTAGTTGTTTTTATAAGATTTATATTCAATTACATGACTGTTATGGGAAATCAGCATTTATTTCATTAATTATTCATTTGTTAACAGAATCGACAGTATATTCTGACAGTTATTATCTCAATCGACAATCTTTGGGATAATTTACATAAATTTATACAATTGTATTCAATTTCAAGCTTTAGTGAGACTTTAGCCAAAACTTAGCAAATATTTGCGAGAATTATAGCAAAATGTGAGAAAAAGTTGTCCTAAATATTGCTTTTATTGCAAACATTTTAATCATTTGTCGTTTTTATTTATTATGTTCTCAGTATTCAAACGGTTTACGAGATATAAAAACCCTTTCATAATATATGGGTAATCGTTGTGTAAACCCATAGCGACTTAACTGATCGATCAAATTTAGTACAACTGTCGGTATATTACTCTGTAATCAATACAATAGACGATAAAAACTGATTTCATTTATAAATCACAAGTTTTCACACTTTTATCGCAAGTAATCGAAACATTTTTCTGTCAGAGAAAGTAATGCTTGTATTTATTTCAAGACAAATAAATTTTAATTGATATTAATTAGAGTACAATTTAGTATTAAAATGCAAGCAATTAAAAGTGCTTTTCATTCAACGATATGCAAATTCAAAGCAAAAAACAAATAAAATATATATTTAATTACAAATACTAATCTAAATCTCATTTGGGAATCAGATTAGAAAAGTTTTAAGGCTTTCAAAAGAGTACGTAATGGCCATAAAGTGACGGATGGCTTAACCCATTAATAGATGTCTTCATTTTATTAACTTGTTATAAATTTTTATCAATTTTATTAAATAAATTATCAATTATTTAGAGATTAAAATCGAGATTAAAAGGAAATTTTGATCAAAAGTGCAATAAATTTCAAATCGAGTGCCAAAAGCGAAGAAGTGATCAATTCATTCATCGCTTGTCTGTCCTTTGGGTACGACTTTGGGTCGAAGAGAGAGAATGAGTTGCAGTAAATCACGTCTGGCTCTGGAGATGGCTTTGAGTGAACAGATGTCAGAAATGTGTCGATGATCTGAACGAAAGAGTTTACGACAGACGGCTTCGGCGTTGCAAATCAGATGAATACCGCAGTCATAGTTGTTGTCCTGTTGTGTGCACTCCATCTCCGTTAAGTCCAAATCAATGTCTGTCATCTGTTCGGCCATCAGAAGCGGCGATAGGATGGCGACGATGTGCTCGGCGTGAGTGCGGTTCACACTCCCGGTGTGGCTGTCGTAGTGTTCAAAGGACTGTCTGTGCGATGAGTACACCAGAAGACTCCAATGACTTCCACCCATTTCGGCGCTATAGATGTCGCAGTCGTTGATCGGAATTATCACCAATTGTTTCTCTTTCAACGCCATCGTCGACAACATCGATATCACGTCCGGTGTGTTGTGTTTAATGACCGCACCTTTGATGAAATGAACCACATTTGGGCTCAAGAAGGCGATCGATTCGCTCACATCTTTGTATAAGTCGTTCTCCAGATAATCAAACCAAAAGCCAATCAGATTATCGTTCAGCCATTTATTGCCTTTCAATAGACTAATATCCGAAGTCCGTAAACACGTATCAAAATAACTCAACACTATATCTCCCTCTGAGGCCATCGCACGAAGAACTCGACAATTGTTATCGTTTAAGAGTTTTAAGACAATCAATAAAACAAAAACACAAATAAACTTAAAATGCGATTAAAGGCCGAGAAGTGTCTGAACGGTCGGGTATTTCCAGACGTCTTCTTTCAATTTGTCGGACACTTCTCGCAAACTCTTGAGTCGTTGTGAATGCAGATCTGATCCATAGATAACAGAGCCGTTAAGTGGGTTCAGAAATGACAAGAAAAGTGACAAAAAACCAAACAAAATGAATACCTTTTTGTAATGAATTCAAATGGCTGTTGAGGTCGGACTCGTGTTTCACCATTTGCTTCAAGCGATTGATCTCAAGACTTAAATCCTTTGTTTTGTCGCCTTTTGTGCCAACAATTGGTTCACAAAAAAAATAATTATTGATTGAATTTATTGATTGAATGCAATGTTTAGGCAAACACTTACTGGCAGTGGGTTTGGATGTGCTCTTCGGCTCTTTGTGTGATAAATCTGCCATCAATTCAATACAAATCAAACGCTAATTAATTATAATTAAAACTAAATTTAATTACAAATGAATGACTGAATTAACGACTCATTACAAGAGTAGATGTGATATGTTTTTGAAAGTCTTGTTATGAGTTGAATGTCAAACACAAACACATCTGTCGTTAAGTTTTCACATAAAACTCGTCTACAAAAACATTATTACATTATTTATCGCAAGTTTTACACAATTAACTAATCATTCATTGTTTAAATGCAATTAATATTAAAATATTGCATTCAGTTATCGCTCGAGTGTTAAATAAATAGCAAAAAACTTTAATTAAATCAATAAATAAATGATAATTAAGTGATAAAAATACAGTAAAAAGTTTTGCCAAAACACTAGACGTTGTGTTTGAATGCCATATAAATAATGAGATAATGTTTTGAGACTTTTAAACCATTTGTTGTTTGATTTGAAAAATCATTGATAAGAGAGGTTTGCGGCGAAGACACGGATGAGCTGACCGGTGATGTCTGGATTGGTTGGCGAAGTGATGTCCCCATTGGTCCGAATCATACATTTCGGGCCAATCATTGCCCTATCGATAATCAAATGTGTTTTCTTCACCACATTATGGCTGACATCGCAATGGCTTCGGATGACGGACTCATTCATACCATTCATCAATTATCTCCTGTACTATACATTCATAGCGATAGTGCTCTACAACTTCTTCAGCGCCGTCTTCGTTGGTCCCGGTTTTGTGCCGAAGGGTTGGCGACCGGAAAGCACTCAAGACATTGAATTAATGCAGTTTTGCGGTCAATGCGATGGCTATAAACCCGCCCGAAGTCATCACTGCCGCCGCTGTGACAGGTGTGGGACCTAGATATACATATATCACTAAATTGAACTAGATCAGTAGATCACTGGATCAGTTTACTTGTTAGGCGTTAGGTCTAGTGTCCTATCAATTAGACTATAATTTTACAATTTATAAAACTTATGAAATATTTGTTTATTAATAAATTGTGATATTATGATTGTATAGATGTGTGATGAAAATGGACCATCATTGTCCGTGGATTAACAACTGCACCGGTTATCGTAATCAATGCTATTTCATAGTATTCTTATTGTCGGCTGTCTTGGGATCTATTCAGTCGATTGTCTTACTGGGGATGGGCTTATATCGCGCTTTTTATGTGGTATGTATTGACCATTCAATTAGTTATACTGTATTATAGCTCCCAATTGAGTGCGAAATCAATCATTGCTTTTGGATAACAATTAATGACTTAATTCTGGCATTCAATTGATTTCTTATAATAAGTTTTCTATAACTTAAGCGTGAATTGCAATCGTGTTATGAGAACTCGTTTTTCGCGTTTTGTTTTAATTTATATGATTTGTTATCCAAAATGAGTTTAACTAATGATATTATAAATGATTATAATTAATACAATAACGAAACAAAAATTATTAATATTAATTATTATTATTGATTTTGAATGAACTCCAGAACTGGTACTTATATAACGATAGATCCGATCGACTCGTTTACATATCGATGACTTCATTACTATTCACTGTTTTTTCCATTGGTTTAGCGATTGGAGTGATTGTAGCCGTTGGCGGTCTTCTTGTTATACAAGTAATCCTTTTATTTACGGCTGATTTATAGCTATTATTAATTGATTATTAATTGGATTTTGAATTATATATATTTCATGTTTTTCTTTCTCTTTTTTGTAGTTAAAAATAGTAGTTCGCAATCAGACGAGTATTGAAGAATGGATTGTCACTAAAGCCATGGGTAGAAAACGAGACGATGTCTTCGTATATCCATATAATATAGGCATTTGGGGTAATATTAAGCAAGTTTTGTTTGAACCAATCCATAGCGGCATTGAATGGCCGGTAATCGATGGTTGCAATCAATACACACTTACCGTAAGAATCAATTTCCTTTAATTACTCATTACTGGGAACCCCTTTATCGGCGTTTAAATCATTAATCGATTTTATATCGCAAATCAATCTTATTATCGATTTTATTGTTTTTTAATAATTAATTAATAAACGTATGAATTGTGTGACCAAAAGGTGGAACAACTTCTGCAGAAAGAAGAAAAGCGGAACCGTTCGGTGACGTGTGTGGCAATAGAGGATTATAGCGGTGCGTGGTTTCCCATATCCAAAGGCTGGCGAATATGCGTTTCATTCCCATTGACTGATGAGCCGCGGATTGGCGTCACTTGTGGTGACCATATTCTGGTGACGCGATGGAAAAAGCACTGGCTTTACGGCGAAAGACTCAAAACAGAGGCTCATAAGCGAGAGCGCGGGTGGTTTCCCAGACGGCTCGTGGTTCAGGTGCACACCGCTAAGTGTCATGTAATCAACAATACATCCAAACAATTTGATACAAATAAAAAATTAGACTAAAATTTTATATATACTCTAATTTAGACACAATTTTTTATTTATTATTTAATATATAATTTTGTAAAGTTTGTTACGAATCCAAATGAAATTATTGTATGAAATTAAAACATTAGATTAGTTTTCGACAAATCTGTTGATTGTTTCGATATATTCTTTAGAAATAGTTATGAATCCGTATGACGTGAACAATGAGAAGAGTACTCTAAGCCATGTCCTGTCGGGTAGGAGTGCTTTAGTGGTCGCGCAAAACAAAATGGACCCGAAGTTGAAGATTACGGAACCGAAAGCACTGAACATTATTCTGTTATAGAGTGGAAGCGTTCGCATGTGTCGACTCATGTATAGGTAAAGACCGATTCCGATGTGGGAATTGAATAGAAGACAATTCACGACTCGGAGACCACTGTTTGGCAGCAAACTATGGCCATAGATATGATTCATACAGTATTTATACATTACTTTTGTACTAAATTACTGACCGAAAGAGTCCGCCGGGTATTGAAGAGTGCAGTGAAAAGCCATAATAACTGACACATCCATTGAGTGGCAAATAAAATGAGTAGATATTGTGTTGGGTTAGTGGAGGGACACGACTCAAGTGGCGTTTGAATCGTTCACAAGAAGTACAATCCATACTGTCCTCCGATTATAAGGAATGTCAACAACTAATTGGTTAAATGATAATACTTTCAAAACTAGTGTTTATGTCATGTTTTACAACGAAAATAATTGACCAGATTTTTCCTTCAATATGTGTTAGCATTACGTCATTGCTATGAATGGGTTTTTGTGTTATTTTTGAGCACAGAATTGAAGGCAAAAGCATTGCAGAGACTGGAGAGGAGGGATCAGAATAACTAATGGAGACATTTGGTTGAGATGTTCAATAGGTTTTTTCATGAATCGCTGAATACCGTATACTATATGAACAAAAATCACTTATAGTTTTTCAATGTACCCAACGTTTGGTACAATCCTATGGTTTGCAAACATATTGTGTGTACTTTTTATTTCTTGATGTCTGTCGAGTACGGGATTCGCAAATTATACACACGTTTTAAAATAGACATGAAATTAATTTTACGTGAAATAAATAAAAACACAAACTTTTGCTTCAAAATCAGGTTTTTGTTTGCATTTTACTAATTGAAACACGACTTCTCCATAAATGAGTTACTGAATGAGTGAAAAAATCTAAAAATATATGTATTATAGCTTATAATTAATTTGGGTCGAGATTTAAGGCAATCATAAATAATAAAGTGTCGAAAAAAATTATTTTACCATTTTTTATATTTCTATATATTTTTCGGTAATTTGTTTTTTATTAGAAAATTCAAATTTTTCTCCCAAAAGCGATGTAATAATAATAATAATAATATTAATGAGTGATATTTAGGTATTAAAAACATGGAAATTTGAGTTGAGATAAGTTTTTAATGTAAATCATATTTCTTTAATGAATTAGGGAATGGGGTTAAGATTGAAGTATGAATTGGATTTGCATTGCATTTATTCCAATGTTTATAGATTTGGGTGTTTATTCCGGCCATCATTTAGTTTATTGCCGATTATAATAATGCATAAAAAACTCATAATTCATGATAATATTCAACGAGTTCTCTATCCAACTGTTTCTTATCCATCGAGTCTTAGTTTGTTTGTCGAGTTATCATTGCATTAATGGCAAGTGCTATGCATTTCGGGCCGATATCTAATGATAGTTACGCTAAGTTTGTGTTTGCATTTCACTCGAGAATTACTATTTTCAACATTTATTTAGCGCTTTTATTACCCAAAAAAACTCATTTTTGATGTCATTTAATGATGACTAGGAATAAAAACGAATCTTCGTTTCCCATTATGTTTACTCGGGATATGATATTCGCAACGATAGGCTCTTTGTTATAAACACACTGCGAAAAACCTCAAACAAAATACTTGAGAAAACTGGTTATTATTATTAATAACGAAATAAAAAACATAATTGAGAGAAATGTTAAATACAAAAGAAGAAAAGGCATTAGAAATACACTAAAAACATATATACGATATAATTTGCAAATGAATCACAAGAATCATTAGCATTAACAGCAAGTAATTCAACAATCGTTCACTTTTTGGTTGTCGGCAACACTAATACCTCAATAAGACTCGCCATAACTTGCATTGGATTTTTTCTTTGATTTAGCTTTAGATAAATCAATCAAAATCTCTGATATCATTATCAAAAAATCTTACAATAATTAGTTTAATAATTATTTATTACACAAATAATACACGTTTTAATAGGTTATTAATTATACATTAATAGTAATCTTATAGGAATATTACATTAAAATATATAATTTTGTCAAAATCTTTATGATTTATCTAAATATACATTAAATTATAAAAGAGTCTACAAATATAGTTATTTACAATTAAGGAAATAATAAATTTAATAATAAAAAAGTTAATTAACAACTAAAGTAACAATAAATATAAAATTTTGGCACTATTTTAACGCATATATAAAATACTAAAGACAGTCAACGGATAAATAAATTCTCAAATTTTATAATAAAGTAGTATTAAAAAAGTGTGTTTCGTTTAAATTGGATATAATTTATAATTTGAAAAGAAATTCATTCAAAAAACATCTTTCGTTTACCGAAAGAGTAGAAGAATTTTTAAAAGAAGAAAAATTATTAATCAAATAATTAAGACATGAGTTTGACATAAAAAGATACGAAAAGGCAAATAACGCCAACCCATGAGAACTTGTGTTTCGTCTGAATGTGTATCTCAGATACGAAGACAAGTTTTTTATGCCTATTTATCAATCGTCAAGAGGTTAGTGACCGGCACTGGAGACTGAGGACCGGCTGAGTTGAAGAACTCTGCCTTCGCTTTGGCCACTTTCTGGCGAATTGGACTCAAATGCGGTATTGAATTGATCTTAATTTCGCTCAAAAGATTGTTTTGTTTGTTCAGTAGATTAGACTTCGCATGACTTTTGTCATGATTGGAGAGTTTCATGCTTTTGATACCATTGGCCGCATCGTTAGGCGTTTGGATCCAATCGAGTATCTTATTATCAAACGTGATGTCATTATCATTGATAATATTGTTGTGATTGTTATTAGTGTAAACATTTGGTAGAGTCATAGTTGTGGTGACGGTTGTGGCAGATGTGAGGATTGGGTGTTTGGCATCCATTTGGATCTCATCGGTGGCGAGTCTCGAGTGAATGTTTGTAGAGCTGACTATTTTGGTTGTGTTTCGATGGCTTTGAGTCACACGATTGGTATCACTTCTGGTCTGATCGCTGGTCTGGTCTTCAATCTTCGTGGTGGCGGTCGACCCGATCTCTAGCCTTACATTCACGGAGTTATCGACACAATAATTGCTATTATTATACATATTATCGTTGTATTGGTTTTGATTCGATGGGAAATTTTGTGTGAATTTGTTTTGGCAATCATTCTGTGAATCCAAACATGTATTGAATAATTGGCTTTTATTATCTTCTTTAGGCCTTTCATTGAGATTCATAGAGTTGTTGAGACGAGTGGTTGTGTGAGCACTGGCTGTATATTTCGGCGTTGGATGTATTGGATAGCCCTTCAAGTTCTCCTCAGGCACTATATCTACCGCTTTCTGTTCCCTAAAACTAGATCTCATATAATGTGGTGAAGTAGTGGTCCTTTGATCACAATTACTACTTAATCCATCATTAGTTGGTTTAGTCTTCTTATAATCAAATCCATTTAAGCCATTGTATTGTTTGAGAAACTGGTGGTTAGTTTTAGACCAATAATTATTATTATTGGTTAAGTCCTGTCTATTAGAATCAATTTTCTGTATTTCCGGATTGCAATTACAATTACAGAGAAGGCACTCATCAATAGGGGTAGAGATCGGACTGATAGGAGCGATGGCAGTGCTAGGAGTGCTCGACAACTCTAATTTGTTCCCATATTTGCATTTGTTTAATGACTTACTAGCCCTCGACGTCGACACACAATGCTTACCATTAGTTAACTCTCTGTCGAAACAATGACAGCGAGTATTGCGGCAGTCGTTGTCTTTCGCGTGCTTTTGACTGTGAGAGCCATTCTTAGCCAATGCGTGACGACTGGCCTGTTTGATGATTACAGTGGCGTAGTCTTCAGGTCCGCACTTCACTGTCTGAGTGGCCGTCGATTTCATACGCGTTGTGTCGCTATTATAGGCAACGATCGCACCATTCATTTCTGGGAATTGTGCCGAAAAATTGGCCGACTTTGAAGCAAACGCTTTGGGTTTAGTGACATTGCCTCCAGAGGTGCCCAATCGCAGGAATTTACTCAACACTGATTGCTCTGCAAACAAAATTATTTATTTATAATTACATATCGTGTGATTAGATTATTCTTATTTACATATAATAAAGCAATTATAATATCATTTCAAAGAGCAATCGCTTACTTCTATTGGAATCGCTTTTACTTTTATAACTCTCTGAAGTGGACTCCGAAGTGGAAGCGCTCGACTCTTGGGGCTCAAAGATGTCGTGCTTTTTTCGCTGTATTTTAAAAGATCGACTCCTTTTAAATGCAGAATTTCTCACATCATTTGATGTGATATTCATTTTATTTGATTCCAGTCTAAGAGAAGAGCTTCGCCTGAGAGCCGATTTGGTTAGCGAATCGCTTTTGTTATCTAAATAACTATTAATGTTGTGTTGAGTATAAGTAGACGATCGGTCTGTCGAGGCCAAGGAGTTCCGCTTCCGATGATAGTCATCGACGTCTAGTTTCGTTGGCCACGACTTTTTGCTATGAGAGCTGCCTTCGGAGCCGTACGGATTGGTCGGCTTTCCGTGCAGTCGTTGAAACGCTTCCTCACCGGTAAAGAGTTGGTGCCGTCGAAGCGATAGACTCTCCAACTCTTCCAATGAGTTGTCGTATTGGTATGAATGGGAGGAAGCGGTGAAACAATCGTTATGAATGTCGTAAAAAAGTTTTTTGTTCTGAACCAACGATTTTAATGAGTTTTTCAAAATCTTTTCTGACGGTAACTCCATATTAGGAAACTCTGTTCGCAGTCTTTTCACTATCAGAGCAAAAGTAGCCCTAATGTGACTTAAATTGAGTTCATTAACGCATTTACATAGGGCTTCAGATAGCGGTGTGAATTGGGTTTGATTTACGATCGATGTCTCGATGAATGAAATATCGCCTAAAATGATATCAAAATGAATTAATTTATTTAAATGACAGCTAAAGTGTGTTTTTGATGTTTAAGTCCCAAAATAAGATCAATTAATAGCGCTATTATCTCTCATATGTCTTAAAGGCTTCGGTAATCTATTTCGCAGAGCATTATAATAATGCAAATCATGGAAAAAGTTTGCTTTAATGGGGAGTTTGGGTTAGGAGTTGGGCTTACATAAGGAGCTGAGGCCTTAGTTCAAGGCGTGTGTCCCAAATACAAACCAACACTGCTTTTCATACAGTATTATGTAAACAGTAATCACATTTGAGAAAAAAGTTATAAGAAATATATTAAAAAGGTATATAAATGCATATATAAAAATATATTTCAAGTTAGTTTGTGACTCTTATTTAAGTTTAATTCATGCTATAATTAGCATTGGGTTCCGATTCTTACACTTAACTAATTTTTTTAAAACTTACCAACACTTATGCTTACGCTTAACCTATTTATACAATTATCAGTTAAATAATCAAAACATGAGATATTTTTTCCAATCAATTCTTCAGAATTTTGCCCACAATTTGTAACTAACTTTAATAAAACTTACCAACACTTATGCTTACGCTTAACCTATTTATACAATTATCAGTTAAATAATCAAAACATGAGATATTTTTTCCAATCAATTCTTCAGAATTTTGCCCACAATTTGTGGTAACAATTTTTGTTATCAATGCCTGTTATCGATGAGAAATTCTGTCTCAAATCATGTGAAATATTGAGATATTTGTGAAATTAAACTCAATTTTTAGACCACTCTTTCGTTAAAGTAAATGTGTTTTTTGTGACTAATTTTTTATTTTATTTGTTATACAATATTCACATAAAACCTTATTATTTTACGTGAGATTTTAAGTGAATTTGTTTCAGTTCTCCACTGAACTATACATTATTAGAGATATTTGCAATATTATACATAAAAATTATTTTAAATTTACCATAGTATAAAAAGCACATAATGACAAACTTTGTATTTTGCTATCGATTATACATAAAAAATATTTGGTGTATATTTAGACTTTTTCAATATTATTCAATAATTTTTACCAGAGGTGACCAGAGATATGCACTTTTTTGAATGGATGAGAAAACTTTCCCAAAAATGCAATAAAAATATCTTAAACACTAAAAACACAACATTTTCTTTATTATGTTTAGTGTCAGAAACAAAGTTTGTTTTGTGGGAATTTCCATTACTTTTTAACTTTTGGTCTGTAATCACAATCCTTTATTACATCTTCGTTACAGTATTTCATATTTTTAGGATATTTTCCTATTAAAAAAATTAAAAAAAGTTTTCTAATGTTATGAATGCTATGAGTTTTTTAAAACACAAACTAAAAAATATCTAATAATACGTTTTAATTCATTCATTGAACGAAACGTATGTTTGAAGAGCTAAATAACTGTGAAAAACCATACAATAATTTTTTTAATACCAATTAGAAAAAACAAGTCAAAAGAATTTTTAATAATAGAAACAATTGTTTTATACATATAATGAATAGTGAGCTAAAGAATACACATTTGAATCCGTGAAAAGATGTATTAATAAATGTATAAAAACTCATTGAATGAATGATTAATACAATTATTTGACTGCAAAAAGCAAATTCACAAATGCATTGGTGAAGGCATTCGTCAGATTAATAGCTAAGGATATGGTTATTGTTTGGATGAATAGTTTTCGCACCTGACCAGCAATATTGGGGATACAGATATATGCGATCACACAATGGCATCGGGGATATGGGTCTAGATATGGGTCAACAACAACCGGCAACACAACACTACTAAATATAAAATACATATAATTCTTAACAAGAGTTGTATAATCATATAAATGACAGGACCTCTCCTACGCCTGACTATCATATCTCATATCATTTTTGCATCCTTTTTACTCATCGTAACTATAAATCTATACGAATAGAGCCTTATATTTATGTGAACCGAAAGCACAGTTCAATGCCATGAGATTTGTTGCAAATATTCTCAAAAAAACGTATCCAACAATACATTGACTAAAAATCAGTTATACAATACATATATACACTGTTTTGTAAAAAGTTTATAAAAAGATATTTACTGTATATAACGTTATAATTGAATTCGGATTTATTGATAGCATTCTTAAGCAAAGATAATGTACAGAATTAGGGAATGAAAAAAATTTATTTACAATTTTAATGCAACTATTAATTCAATATTTACTTATATTTTGTCAGACGCTGTGAAACACATAAAAGATTAGTAAATATCCGCCGATTCAATGAACTCTTCGCACAATTATGTTTTGAAACCTTATGTTCACTAATGACTTAAAAAATAGTTACTATTAAATAGCAGTTAAATTGTTATTAAGTATTAAATGCATACAATTTATAAGAACTTACTAGTTGTACATGTATTTGAATTTAATTTATTTCAATCGGATTTAAATCCTAATTGAAAGTCATTAATATTTCTTAAATTCTCCTAAAGAGACAGATTTGGAAATTTTTGTTATATTTCCAATAAATGCTATCATTTTAATCATCAGAATATTCACGTTATAATGCAATAATTTATAGCCGATAAGCTCTACCGACTGCCCTCCCGTCCGGCCCTGTTATGTGCCCACAATCTAATGCCTGTGAATATCTAATTTATATTTTTCTTTAATGCCTTACAAAATATTATTACTGTATTCATAATTGTGGTCGTAATGTAAATGCTTAGTCATACTCGTAGTAAATATTTATAATCTAAAAACAAATATAAAAAAGTTTATGCAATAATTTCTTAAATCAAATCAACGATTAATTTTTGAAAAGCATAACTTGAAATAGAAATGTAGAGATGATATAAAAATTAATGACGATAAAATTTATTAGTGTTTACGATCATTAAAATTCTGTACTTGTATTAGAAGTTGGCATAACATAACACAGTATTGATAATTAATGTGAAACTAATGAGATTCAACCAAATCTGATGTTTTTTATGTAACAAAAATATAATTTCCTCAACAGTTGGGGTCAAAGACGACATTGAATTCATATGTTGTCTATTGGATGACAGCGAAGAAGGAAAGGATTGAAAGCATTTAAATGATGAAAATTAATTGAATTTCTCATTCAGTCATTCGCTGGATATTAAATAAAATTGAATGAAATAAAGATTTGGTTATCGATTAACGAAAGAAATATATATCTATCGCATGACTCGAAAGCGGAACTTCTTCTTAGTATTCATCCATAAGAGACCAGAAATAAGAAACAAAAAAACCTTATTTTTTAAATTAAATAATATTTGAAATAAAATCGGATTAGATATAGAAAATTGAATTAAATTCTAGACTTAAACTGATTTATAAATGTAAATACTGTCTGAGAAATGGGTATTAAGTGCTGAGAAATTATTATTATTATTAAATTATCACTCAATTTATGTGAATCGCAATTACAGTTAATGATAGGGGTTTTGAGCCCAAAATTATGTGTCTCTCACTCATGAGTCTCTCTTTTTTCTCGGCTAATGATTTAAGTGAAAACCAAAGGCACAGACAATCTCTGTTGAACTCAAGAGACTTGAGAAATACATACAAATACTTATAATCTATTCGTTTAATCTTGAAATTTCCGAAAATAAATTATTTGTAACATTGATTGAAGTATTTTTGATTTAATTTAAATGATTGAAACGATTCAAAAATAGTAATTCTCATCGCATTAACGAAATAAAAACAAAATACATTACATCTGTTGCAGAAATATTTTCAATAAACTTAATAAAAACTAAAATCGTACGCAAAATACAAGGAAAAAACAATAATATTTAGCGGTAAAACTATTTACACAGTGCTTTCCTATCCTAATATAGCACAACGTTTTGGTTATAATAATAATCATATTTTTTATATTCATTTAAATGGGACGATAAGTGAAGATTAATTACAGGAGAATAGTATATCGCGTGTGACCTAAACTTGTCATAAAGTTTTCTTTGATTAGAAAACATTGAGATTTTTTTTCTCTGACGAAATGTCTTCGTCTGTAAGGTATATACGAAACGACACTTTAATTAAAAAATAAATATAAATATATATAATATTTATTTATTAATAACTCAATCGATACGAACACACAGAACGAAAATATCGTTTATAAATAAACACTTCTTATCAGTAAATATAATGAATGAATGGTTTCCTGAGAAGAAGTTGAAGAAGGGGTCAAACATTGGCCCACAAGAAGTACACAAACATATACTAAATTATCTCTTGGCTATGAAAACACAACTAAATTAATATTAAAATTTTTTAAACATAAATTAATTAAGATTTTTGTTTAGATTGAAATTCATTTAAACACACTTTTTCTTCGGTAACGCATTTTCCCCTTCAATAATAAATTACTTATTTATAGCACAACTCATTTGAATTTATGTTAAATCAATTCCCAATTTATTTCAATGCACACCAAAAACACTCATCTCTTCTCTCCTAAACTGATTGACGAACTAAAATATAATTTAAATTTTTCATATGTATTCATATTATAAATATTCACATTCTCTCTCTTTCTCTCTCTCTCCATATGTATCATACATTTCATTCATTCTATCACTAAAACGCATTTTGTATTGATTTTAAAATACATTTATTATAATTCTTGGCCACAATTGAGGCAACGGTTCGCAAAATGATGAACCGTTTTTAAAACAGTATTATAATATTAATAAATCATTTGATGTGAGAATAAATTGTGTTTCAATTGTGCGGCAAAACATATGAGCGATGAGTTCAGCCAAAGAAATCGCTTTTTATCGATTAATAAAATGAATTATAATTTAAACAGTTTTTTGTTCAAAACTTGGTTTCTTGTTGTGAATAGGTTTGCAAACTTATGCAACCATTTATGCCTTCAGTAACGCTGTATATAATTACTTGCTTTCAAAGTACTATTACTTAATACAAGTATTAAACTTATGTTTCTTTACGAAAGTATTATATATTATCGATAAATAATACTGTGTTTTATGTGTCTTACGATGAAATGAGAGCAACAATGAAATGAATGATTTACTCGTTTAATAATATTTATAAACATATTATATATCAGTACGAGTTATACATATTATATAATAAAAAAGATTAATTAATTCAATTAATACATTTATAAATTATGGACTGAATTTAATTATATCAGAATTGATGTGTTAATTGTATTTTAAGTATTATAACAATTAAATTGAAAGCAAATTTTATACAACCGATGGAGCGATTCATAAATTTTTATTTAACTTATATTTAAGATTTATATTTTATTTATTGTTTGCTTATTATTAACATTAATAAAGCGATAGGATTTCAGTATAAGAATAATACATATATATTGCTATCAAATTGATTCCACAAATTGATATCCCAATGAATTATTAAATAAAGAAATACATTACAAATCATATCTTTAAAACATCTAAATTATAAATTATAATTCATTTGATTTTTGATTTTGTTGTTTTTTGCTTTGAGATTATATTATAGAAAATCCTTTGGATTCAAACCGGAATCAATTGCTCTGAATTGGGAAATGCACTAAACTTTCTATTATAACATTTATTACACTGTATTTTATGGCAACTCATAGAGCAGATGGTATTTTATAACGCTATTAAACACATATATTATAACATTTGGGTTTTAAATTGAAATTATACACTAAATAGAAAGTATTATACGTTTTAATAGTATAATCAAGTGATTATTAAATTTGGGCAAAAATATCATATTATTAACAAAATTTATTATATATCAATACAATAAATGTGTATTAATAGTGTATATTATATAACATTTATTCCCAGATTAAAATTATTGACTGCATTTAAGGTAAAACTGCATTTGATTTAGTTTTTGATACGAGGAATAAGTGGAGTCAATAGCGCTCTAAATAGCATTTATTAAGTTTTTGAATCAATAAAACATTGAATGACTTGAATGTATAAAACATCTAAATTATAAATTATAATTCATTTGATTTTTGATTTTGTTGTTTTTTGCTTTGAGATTATATTATAGAAAATCCTTTGGATTCAAACCGGAATCAATTGCTCTGAATTGGGAAATGCATTAAACTTTCTATTATAACATTTATTACACTGTATTTTATGGCAACTCATAGAGCAGATGGTATTTTATAACGCTATTAAACATATATATTATAACATTTGGGTTTTAAATCGAAATTATACACTAAATAGAAAGTATTATACGTTTTAATGGTATAATCAAGTGATTATTAAATTTGAGCAAAAATATCATATTATTAACAAAATTTATTATATATCAATACAATAAATGTGTATTAATAGTGTATATTATATAACATTTATTCCCAGATTAAAATTGTTGACTGCATTTAAGGTAAAACTGCATTTGATTTAGTTTTTGATACGAGGAATAAGTGGAGTCAATAGCGCTCTAAATAGCATTTATTAAGTTTTTGAATCAATAAAACATTGAATGACTTGAATGTCTTGAATGACCGCAATCTTTGTTAATGTATATAAATATAAGGAAAAACGTTTAAAATAAATAAATTAATGAAAATAAAAGTTCTTTTAAAAAAGGTAACCAAAAAATCCGGTAAATGACCCCATGTTTGGCAAAAAACCATTTTTACATTAATTCTAAATCTGAACACTTTATGACATTTATTATGAGAGTCGAGAGAGAGCGCTATTGACTCCACTTATT